TATGTCTTGTTGGGATACAAACGTTAGTGTTTCGAATAATTTAAAGAACCGAAAATCCCAAAAGTTGTGCAAAGTAAGACTAGTGTAATCTATGTCTTGTGAGGATACAAACGTTAGTGTTTCGAATAATTTAAAGAACCGAAAATCCCAAAAGTTGTGCAAAGTAAGACTAGTGTAATCTATGTCTTGTTGTGATACAAACGTTAGTGTTTCGAATAATTTAAAGAACCGAAAATCCCAAAAGTTGTGCAAAGTAAGACTAGTGTAATCTTTGTCTTGTTGTGATACAAACGTTAGTGTTTCGAATAATTTAAAGAACCGAAAATCCCCAAAGTTGTGCAAAGTAAGACTAGTGTAATCTATGTCTTGTTGTGATACAAACGTTTGTGTTTCGAATAATTTAAAGAACCGAAAATCCCCAAAGTTGTGCAAAGTAAGACTAGTGTAATCTATGTCTTGTTGTGATACAAACGTTAGTGTTTCGAATAATTTAAAGAACCGAAAACCCCAAAAGTTGTGCAAAGTAAGGCTAGTGTAATCTATGTCTTGTTGGGATACAAACGTAAGTGTTTCGAATAAGTTATTAAGAAATTTACAGAAAATGAACGTTTCACTGATATGTCAACAAGAAAGTGCTGTCTACTGGTTTGGTTATACCCTTTGGTGAGAAAGTGGCATTGACCCAGTGGTGGTTGTAAAAACTCATCAAAGATACCCGGCTTAGAGTCAAGTACAGTAGGCGCTGGTATATGCAACCATAGAGCAGTTATATGCATTGAAAAGGATCATACAAGTGTCCCCAGCATGCAAGGTTTGTTTTGAACCGTTCGCACATTCTATTGCCCTTGGGATGACAACTGGTTGTGTAGGTAAAAATATGATAAATAGACAGAAATTCGGAAAAGCAAAATAAAAAATTTATCAGCAATGCAAGACTTACAAGTATACCAATATGACTGAACCCGTTTATTGACTCTTTATTGGATTTATTGTCATTAAAAGAAGATTTGTTTTACTAATGTTAGTACTTTTGCTTAGTGTCTTGCAAAAATTATTGTATTCAAGAAAAAGGTTTCAGAATAACATTACAAAATCTTCAAATAAGCCGTTATATGACTAGCACATAAGTTTAGCATTGTTTCCTTCTATCTAGAAAACAATTATAGATGGACAGAAACTGTAACAACAATGATGGTCAGCAATACCGATTCTACAAACAAACTCTATAACAAAAACCATGAATCAGGCGGTTACCAAGTTGAAATTAAACAAAAGAAATGGAACTCTTTGTTAGAGAAGGTAAAAAAGCCAAATTGGTATATTTGAATCGTTTACATCTATGGACTTTACAAGTTTTATAAAGGTGCATAATTTAGGATTTAATGCATTTAATATACGTGTTATTACTTAAATTATAGTATGGAGCTCCGAGATATTTGTAAACGTTTAAATTATAGACATATTTTTATAAAACAGACGATTGTAGTAGGTGCAAATACAAGTGGATCTTTTTTGTGCATAAGCATAAATTCCGCCGAAAAAAAATCCACAGACAGATAATAGATTAATCTTTTTAATGCATAATTTGCATCTCTGCCCCCGCCGACAACTTTTTAGGAAAAAATCCTAAAAATGGGCAACAATTTCATAAAAAAAGAGAAAGTCGAGTACACCTTTTTATGTTCGGGCCTGTTTGAGCTGACTATTCTGTCTTTAAAACGTAAAAAGTAAAATTTTTTGATAAATCATGTCGCTTCAGATTCTATTATTTTATGTATTTAGGCTACAGGTTGATTTAATAGCATTAAAAATTCACAGAAATAAAATATATGGATCAAGTGAAATACCTTTCTAATGAGTCATAACAATAGATTAGGTGTGTTCGAATATCAAATTTTTACTAAAAGTACTTGACGACAGACTTTTCAAGTGGATCTTAAAAATGCATAACTTAAAAAATACTTCATATGTTTGTGTGTGTGTGTGTGTTATCTAGGGTAATTATAGTCTTCGACCTAAATTTTTAGTCTGCCCTTCCACGAAATATTTAATTAGAATTTTTTTAAATATTTTTGAACTTTCAAAAATTCCCCCTGACAACCGATCAGACAAAAGTTTTAAGTTGACCAAATGCATAAAATTACATTAAATGATGCTCAATAGCTAGTAGATAAATTGTCTTTTAAAATACAACGGGCATAAAGGGATCGTGATGATGCTATGTGGATAAATTTATCGGTTTTCAAGAGCTAAATTGGTGTATAGCGCGTCATCACTACTATGGCTTCCATTTTTACGATTATAAAAATCAGGTGGCGTTATGGGGAGATAATTTTGACGAAGTAGAATCCTGAGTGGGAGATGATTTTGACGAAGTAGAATCATGACTGCAATTGACTTCTTAGTGTCCTTAAACGATAAGGATTTACAAATTTTAATGTTTTGACTTATCATCATGACATTTTAATAGAAAGACTGCAATGGTACACCACAAATGGAATAAGCAATTCAATATGTTTAAAATACTTGTAACAGCATCGTTTTTAATGTGTAAATCACATTACATAGACTGCTAGATGAATGACATAGGTATTGACAATTCAATTTGAAACTCAACATAAACCCCAAAAACGTTACGACAATTACCAAGGAGGAAACCTGGATAATCATAGGTCAGTTCTATGTTCCTTTGGAATGTCAACAAAAGATGAAGAACTGGATCTTCCTTCACTGTATTGGAAAAGTGTCATTACAAACAACGTCATGTTGCTGGGTTTTCCAAGTGCTCCACGAAACCTCTTTCTAAATTATAAACATTAATAAATCAGCAATCAAATCCGGGCTTCAAAGTTTTTGTAAAACTACCTACCCTAGGGGCGGCGTGAATCAGATTTGGATACTAAAAAATTCGAAAGATCTGACAGAGTACATACAATCTAAGTCTCTTTCATCTTGCAGTAGTATTTAAATTTGACTTTTCTGCACATTACACAAGTATTCCCCATGCCAAACTAAAAGACAAACTGGAAGAATTTGTCCTGCTTTGTTTCACAAAAAAGAATAGCCAACGTAGATACAACGTATCTTGTCTTGGGGAGGAATAAATCCAACTAGGTAAAAATCGCTCTCTTTCAAACAAAAAATTCTCTGAAACTGATATTATCAAGATGCTTGATTTCTTGGTTGACAACATATTTGTTACGTGTTTTTCAACAACCAATCGGCATTCTATTTGAAACCTACTGTTCGCCTCTTCTTGTAGAGAATACGTAACGCTCTTACAAGTTCACACTATTCGAACTTTATTAACAGGGCTGTGCTCCTTACACAACAACTGCTCCTTGACCAAGAGAGTTATGAGAAAGAACGACTGAAATCGATACTACATCAGTCTTGCGGTAACCATGACGAATTGGTGGACCGATACGATGTGTCGGTGTTTCAACTCACTAGCGACATATTGTTTTCTTTATCTTTATATACCAATATAGTCGACTGATCTGTAATTTAACCGATTGTGACAATTGAACCGAGTGTGAATTTGCATGTAGACGCTCCCGGTCAAGCTTCCTTTCGAGTAAATCTTATTCCGTTACTTTTGTTTGTTACTTTGTCATTTCCTGATCGTTTTACGAGATTTGAAAATCGGTAAACAACTGTCGCCTTTATTTACAGATGGACAATGTATTCAGAAATTTTAAACAACAAAATGATCGGAAATACAAGATCTAGCGTTAAGTCACACGAACTTATCTGACAATATTGTACTGCGTATTGGATTTAATGACCATTAGTTAAAGACGATTTTCATAAAATAAAACACAATCTAAAAAAAAAACAGCAAAAAGACTACAACTTTCTTCCTTATATCTTGAAAACTATTAGAAATAGAAAAGACAGACAGATACTAAGATCTACAATTGAGTCACACGATCTTATTTGTTAAACTTATGATTTTATTTAAGAATTGAATACTTCTTTTATAATTCTATTGGGGTGCAAATGCGTTGACCGAAGCACATTTTGTATGAAGAGCTTCATATAAAAATGTGCACATGATCAACGCTTTTACTACTGTATAGAACTATAAAAAGAAGCATTCAATTCTTATAATTACAATTCTATCCTACAACCATAATTAAGAGTTTTCAAACTTTTATTTTTTTTAAAGTACATTATTTTAACATTGTCACGGATAGCACGTGCAAATATGACATTGGATTGCCTTGCGATTGTTGTCAGCCAATCAAAATTACGAATTCTAATGAAACATATATTAGGAATTATTGCCATTTCATCTTGAATGACCATTTCTTTTTTTACCTTTGAAATAATTAAGCCAATTTTGATTGATCTTGACATGAGTGTGGCTGTATATTAATTTATATATCATATAACGATATTTTAACAAAAACGGACTAAGACACGACTAAAATTAAAACACAGGGTTACAACGGAAATAAAAAGAAAAACTGTATGCAGCAAAATTGCAAGAAATTTGAGATCTACAAATCATTCCTTTGTCGTTGATATACAATTCATTACACATGTTACATGGGTTGCTGATATTCAAATAATATAATGGTCGTTGATATTTTGATGACAGCTTCGGGAAGGGCTATTTGAGTAGGGTTTTTTTAGGGGCGTTGCGGGTGGGGGGCTTATACATATGTTTTAATCCGAATTCTTTCAGTATATTCATATTGATTATGTAGGATCGGTGATGTTTGGCTGGTGGAATCCCAAAACTATTTATCAATTTTAAACTTTTGCAGCTTATCGCAAATCTTTACAAGTTGCTCTTTGGTTGAGGTCATTACTGATGAAGTGAAGAATCAATTTTGTATTAATATATCAATTGTAACGGGGCTTTCTTCTTTGTATTTTGTACCTAGTCATATTTCGGATCTATGTATCCGGGACCGGTTACTCCATGCTTGCCTGTCAGCATAAGGAACCAGCAATTGTAAAGTTTCTCCGTAAGCTCACAACTAAGTCTATTTAATGTTCACATGTTTAATGTTAGTAGAAATTCATATAACAGTACATATATAATATATATAAAGGTTCACAATTAAAATTTTCATCTATAAAACAACTGACCAATATAAAGGTTCTCACAAGATCGCGCTATTAACATCTGTTAGTTTAGATTAAACATTGCTTTATGGTTTTAGAGTATTTTGATAAAAGAGGGACGAAAGATACCAGAGGGACAGTCAAACTCATAGATCGAAAACAACCTGACAACGCCATGGCCAAAAATAAAAAGACAAACAGACAAATAGTAGTACAGATGACATAACATAGAAAACTAAAGACTAAGCAACACGTTTACGTCGGATGAAGAGATGAAAAATGGCTTACAAATCCCTTGAACAATGTACTACTACTTTGCTTTGTAATGTTCGGTAGAGTCTGAAACCAGGAGAGTACATTTCCATCAAGTTTTAGTTGCATTGCACTGACAGCTTTGTCTACATTTTCTAACCATCCGTTAAACACAATCCATGCCTCAAAATTGTCTAGCCATTGTTTTGCGTCATCTGATGGGTGTCCTGAAAAAATATCCATAGAAATATTTGAAGTAATGTTACCACGCTTTGTATTAATTTCCATTACATGTGTCATTTTATTAAGAGTAATTAACAGTTCCTTTGAATCTGAATTCCGCCACTAGCTTCTGCGGATTTATTTTCGTCTCCAGGCATTTCAGTTAATTTAACTTGTCTATTTCTTAAATTATGTGTCATTAAGTCCGACTCTTCCACCACATGTAACGGGGCTTTACTCTTTGTATTTTGTACCTAGTCATATTTCGGATCTATGTATCCGAGATCGGTTACTCCATATTTGCCCGTTAGCATAGGGAACAATTGTAAAGTTTCTCCGCAAGCTCACAACTAAGTCTATTTAATGTTTACATGTTTAATGTTTGTAGAAATTCATATAACAGTACATGCATAATATATATAAAGGTTCACAATTATAGTTTCCAATTAACGTTCGTGCATACAACTTGTTACTTCCAACTCATCTATAAAACAACTGACCAATATAAAGGTTCTCACAAGATCGTTCTATTAACATCTGTTCTTAATTTAGATTAAACATTGCTTTATGATATTAGAGTATATTGATAAACTTGTAAATTTTATTGCAACTCTACTGTGCAAACCATGTACCGCATAAACTGTCACATTAATCAAGATGAAAGATCATTAAACTGATTAAGTGTTGACCATCAATTCTTTGATGTAATTGACCCCGCTAAACAAATTCGTTTTCACTCGCATTATAAAATCAGATCAAAAATTGTTACACAAGTAAAATAATAAGGGGAGGCAATATGAACATTACAAAAATAAACTTTTTCTTTTACTAAAACTACTTTAAAAAAATCTAAACTAATGATAGAAAAATATAATAATTGTTATGCCATGTAATTTATCAATTTACGTCGTGAATAGTTGTGGAAAACTTGCAAAAAGAGTTCTCTTTAAAATCTAAATTAACAATTATCCTTTCAACTTCAAACTCTTGATATTTATAACAATTTATAATAATGAGGCATTAAAACAAAAATCATTAAAAAAATATACACAAAATAAAATTTAATACAGAAGTTTGACTATTATTAATCTATTCAAATACATATGGAAAGGACTATCCGGAATTTTGACAATTAATCCAAGCGTAAACTAAATGATCAAATAATTAAAAGCGTCAACTATAATCAACTTATCATTATCTCGGGGCAATCAACCTAATCATTTTACAAAGAAAATCAGCGTCTCATTAGCTGCAATTTTCACTTCTATGTGACATTATCACCTAAGAATGACCAACACTGTCACTCAACTTCATGGGCACTCCCATGTACATCAAAATAATATAAGAAACCCTTGTTCTTAACAACACACAACACGCCCACTCTCTTAATGACAAGCGATTAAAACTAGCTTATTAATAATCAAACATGCGTAATAAACAAAATCAAACAAAATTGAATGCAAAAAAAAATAATATACAATGAGAAACTAAACACCGGCTAAAAAAATAAAAAATGAATAAAAATGAAAATTTAAATTTTTTTTACAAAAATGAAAATTAATGAATCAGGATACTTAGATGAAGTTATTTTGTTATGCATTTCCTTAACATATTCCTGGCATTCCGGGTTCAAGTCCTCAAAATCTACCCACGAATTTTCAGCTGCATCATACCCTAACCATTTTACTCTGTAAGTCAATTTATTTCCAACTTTCTTCTTTTTTTTTTTGATTTTTTTTCTATTGAGTTATCTTTATTTTTGTTAATATTGTCGACATATATAGATATAAGAAGATGTGGTATGAGTGCCAATGAGACAACTCTCCATCCAAGTCACAATTTGTAAAAGTAAACTATATTCATTTATGGGAATTTGATCGGGTTGAAGGTCCGGTTCCACTTGTTGAAAATTATCAACAGGAATGTCGTTTTCATTCAATTCCAACGGCTCCAGTTGATTGATTTGTGGTTTCGGATCGCAAGGTTCACCGGTCCAAACTAAACCAGGTTTTATCCTGTCGAAGTGTACTCGAATTTTAAGCAGTTTGCCGTCACACTTTCTTCTCAGTCGTACATGTATTTGGGACAATCTTTCAACGATACAAAAAGGTCCCGTCCAAGGTCGTCGTAGCTTCCTACTTAAATTTGGAGTTGTGACTGGCGTATACAAATAAACAATATCACAGACACTAAAGTTTGAAATACCACGGTTTTTATTAGCTTTTTTCAACATCTCTGTTTTGTGTTCTTGAAGATTTTCACGTGCTACAGCTCTGGCTTTTTCAATGTTTTCTAAAGTTTGTATAATATACTCTAGCGCAGTAACAATTACATCCATATTTGGCAAATGCGTATCTAAAAACGATTTCGGTGACGACCATTTACTAAGAAAAAAGGAGATTAGTCTGTTGAATCTATTGACGGCGAAGTATTATATGCGAATTGTATGAATGGAATATATCTGTCCCAGTCGGAATTGTCGTCAATATACTTTGACAACATATTTTTGATTGTCGACATCATTCGTTCACTTTGTCCATTACACTGCAGTCTATAACTTGTGGTTTGAGTCTTTTTAATGTCCAGTAATTTACAAGTCTCTTTAACAATATTAGACAAATAGTTCACACCTCTATCTGAGTGTAAAAATAATGGTCTTCCGTGTCTACACACTACGTTGTGTAAAAATGCTGTAGCAATAGTTGCTGCTTTGATGTCACTTAACGGTATTAGTTCGACATATTTAGTAAGATAACAAATGAACACTAATACATACTGGTTCTTTGATTTTCCGAAGTTTAATACCGGTCCTAATATATCTGTACTGACACGTTCAAACGGCTGTGAAGCTATTGGCATAGATGTAATTGGCGATTTTGTTGACTTTTGAGGTCGCTTACGCTGACTACATAATTCAAAAGATTTAACCCAGTCCGCAACATCAGATCCAATTGAAGGCCAGAAAAACATTCGTTGAGTTCTTTGTATTGTTCTGTTTATTCTAAATGACCGGATAAAAGTCCATCATGTGTTTCTTTCAATACAACAGGTACTAACTTGCGCGGTACTGCGATTTGAATTGTTACTTCAGTGTCTTTACAATGTCTCTTATATTTCTTGTTGATATGGTAAAGTATTCCGTCATTGGTGAAGTAGAACGGTTGTAGAGTTAATATGTTTCTTCGCCGCTTAGCATTTCCGGGAAGTTCACCGGATTCGAGAAATGTAATAATGTATTAAAGTACGTGTCTTGTCTCTGTTCAACTTTTAGTTGCGCCATAGGGAATAAATTCACACTTTCCTTAGTAATACTGTATAGTTCGATATTGTCACTATTCGTAATTTTACGTACAAACGGTGAATGCTTCTTCACTATTTTTACGTTATTACCAGTTCTGTCAATTACCGCATCATACGGCAAAATATCTATTAACGACTCCATGTCCTGATCAGTGGCATTCTCATATTCACGGCGACTCACTCCGTCTGCATTTCCATGAGTAGTCTCGGGGCGATATAATATTTCCATATTATAAGACTGTAACAAAGCTAACCATCTAGCAAATTTTCCAGTTGGTTCAGTTAATAGTCACTTTAGTGCCAAATGATCTACATACGCAGTAAATTTGATAAAACGCAAATAACAGTCAAATTTCTTCACAGCATACACCAACGCTAAATATTCTTTTTCGGTTATGCCATATTGTTGCTCTTGTTTACTTACCGATCATCCTGAATGACAAAATCACTCTTTCTATCCCGTCTTGTGTTTGACATAAAACGGCTCCGTTAGCAAATGAGCTTGCATCCGTATACAGTTTAAACGGTTCGTCAAAATCTGGATAAGCCAATATAGGTGGTGAAATCAAAGCTTCTCTTAGTAATCTAAACGCATTGTCGCACTGTTCAGTCCAAGTAAAATCTACATTCTTCTTAGTAAGCGCATATAAGAAGGATGCGATTTTAGCATAGTCTTTAATAAATTTGCGATAGTAACCTGATAGTCCAAAAAATGCACGAACTTCCTTGAGACGTTTTTGTATCGGATAGTCTTTGATAGCACTTTATTTATCCGGGTCCGGTGATATACCGTCACTGCTCACAATATGTCCCAAATACTTAATTTGTCGCTTGGCAAAAGTACACTTTTTAGGATGCAGCTTCAAACCTGCCTTTTTCAAACGTTCAAAAACTGCTGTCAAGTGTTAAACATGATCTTCAAACGTTTTTGAGAATACCATTATATCGTCAAGATATATCAGACAAAATTTAAATGTCAACCCATGTAAAACAGTTTCCATGAGACGCTGGAACATTTGTGGTGAGTTTTTGAGACCCATGGGTAAACGACGAAATTGAAACAGTCCTAAATGACATCTCCATGCAGTATTAGGTCTGGACTTGGGGTAAATAATGGACTGATAAAAACCACTCTTCAAATCAGGGGCCGAAAAGTACGTCGGTTGCTTAGCGCCGACGCTTTCTAAAGCATCTTCTGTAGTTAATAACGGATGTGCGTTTAATTCAATGCATTCATTCACTCTTCAAAAGTCAACTACGAAACGATAATCTGTATTTGTAGTATATCTACTCTTTTTAGCGACTAATAAACATGGTGCTGCCCACGGACTAGTGCTTGGTTCTATAATACCATCCCTCAACATGTCCGATACTACATTTTTTAATACCTCTTTTTGTTTTGCACCCAGTTTGTATGGCCTTTGCCTTATTGGTTTACACGTGTCGGGGATGTGTATTTCATGTTCATTGACCTAACTTGCCCTCTTTATTCACAAATACGTCAGAGTATTTCCTAAGTGAATCATTCAGCTGACCACGCTCCTCAACCTTCAAATCACCTGATATATCTGGCAAATCAATGTGTCCCTTGTTATCTCCGCCCACTGGTTGTGTATTCTCCAAATTGACATCGTACAACTTATCATCTCTTGAAATGCATACAAATTTCCCAACATTTTCTTAATTTTCATAGGCTTATCAAAAA